GATTTTCAAGTCCCGAGGAGCTTCCGGTTGCACTGCCAACCCCAAAGTGGTTGTGCGTTTGACAGATGTAACATAACATTCGGTGGTAACTGTCCTCAGTTTCGGTGATGTCAAAACCGTGAACCCTTAGGTCACTCCTCAAACAAGACACCATTTCCTTCATCCGTCGCACGTTACGCTCGGCAAGGCCCACCGTTTGGTGACTTTGAGGTGCGGCCGCTTTGATGATCAATGGAAGGCCGAGCTTCTTGAGAACATTTCCTAATGCAACTTCGGAATCCGTGAGGATCTCGACCGACATCGAACTCGTTTCGGCGATTCCCAATTGGGCGAAGAACTTCCGGCAGTCAGCTATTAGTGTGGCATCAGTGTTCAATCCACATGAAGCTACCCCAATCAGCCCCGAACTCCCTTCGGCAAGTAACATAAACTTGTGCCTATCGATGAAAAAGAAACCTGCCTGCACTAACATCAGCTTATGATCGACTGGCGAGTTCGACTCTTTGTTTCGTGCATGGTGAATAGTTGAACGACTTCTCAAACAATGAGTGCAACGTCGATCATATGGGATGTGTCCTCTCCTACGGTGTATTGAAAGTTCCTTCTCAATCTTCTGTGAAAAACCTGGGAATGATGCATCTGAAGTTGCACAAGGCTCTGACTTCTCGTCGATTTCAATGTCTATTTCACCTTGTTTCGGCAATGGCTGGTCAAGCACATGGAGAACCGATGACTTGGTGGGACATGTCAACTTGCGATTGGGCTCATGTTTCTTACCTGCAACTTCAAAAGACTTGCACTTCAGGGATGTCATCGAATTTCAACACACTTTCACATGATTACCTTTCGAAGGACTTCGATCGGACGTTTCGGGAGACATTAAGATCGAACGTTCCGAAGCTTTTGAGGACTTGCCTGAACAGGAACTCTTTGGTGAGGCATCGGATGAGTGCTCGGACCATGCTTCGAGGGCGTGACCCATGTGGACATCTTGGTCCTTGCTTCGAGTCTTACGACGGTGGGCTCTCAACCAAGGCACGTTCGCCCAAATCTCACACTCCATCCTTCGGATATCCCCCACCCTGACATGGCAACCTTCAGGTCCAAACTCAAAGGTGGCCCCCATTCTGGTGAGTCCTGAAACGCTCAACAAATTGTGTTCAACCGGTCCCACCACTGCACGAATCTCATAGCGAACAAGTTTCGTCTTGTCGTGATCATCATGTTCGATGATGGTTGGAAAATACACTTCCAACATGCATTCATGTGCGATTTGAACTTGTTCTCCTGAAGCCGTTCTGAACTGGATTGGTGAAGTGAGGGTTCGTTCACGAAGTACACGATAGGCCGACAGCGATTCGATCGAAATCACAGTTTTGCTTGCACCTGAATCCACCAACCACAGGTGTGGATCATGCATGTCTTGGCTTTGGCAAATGAAAAACGGTTCGCAAAAATCAACCAAGACCGACAATCGACCTCCGTCTTCGATGTCTGGTTCGGACCACTCACTACCGGCTTCGGATTCGGGTTGGAACGAAGAAAACTCAGTTGCTCTCTTTCCCTTTGGTTTGCCACCTTTCGAATCTCCTTTCTTACCTTTCTCTCCTTTACTTCCTTTCTCTGTGCCTTTGCTTCCTTTGGAACCCTTTCCTTGCTTGTCTCCTTTGGCACGATGTGGACAATCAGACGAAAGGTGGCCTCGTTGATTGCATGTGAAGCAAGTTCGAGTCTCTTCGGAAGTTCCTTTTCCTTTACCTCTAGGGTCAACACCCTTACCTTCCTTTCCTTTGTCTTTACCTCCCTTGGATCCTTTGCCCTTTCCATCGCCCTTTTTGCCTTTGTCTCCTTTTCCTGATGTGTTCTGAAGTGCAGCAATTGGCTTACCTCCAACATCGGACCAAATACGTTGTTATGCTTCATATCGTAGGGCACTTTCAACATACGAGATGAATGATTCATCCGGCGAATTCAACACAATCCACTGTCGACACGGCTGTGGAAGAGCTCTCAACAAAACAAGGACCTTGTCGGCTTCGACGAACTCTAGACCTTTGATGTTGACACTCGGATCCACCAGCTGTGCGACACGTTCGTACTGGAACAATTCAGACTGGATCTTCCGGATGACTTCGGGAATAGCCGGCGCCGAAATGCTGCTGTTTGCTAGTTGTGTACGAAAGAAGAGGAGCTCTGTTCTGGTTTTGACCGAAAATTCACGGGCGATCAGTCGAAGGCACTCGAATCCACAGCATCGAACAAAACCTTTTGACTCTTCATAGTTACGAATCACTAGACTCGCTCTTGCATGGTTACTGAAACAGGTTTTCAGTATGGATAACAGTCGAACTGAACGAGTCACTTGACTAGGCGAAAGTCGATGCCACCCCAAAGGTTCAGTCTCCTTGATACACATCATGATCTCTGCGGGATACGTATTCGAGCCTAGGCCTGTCCAACTGGCCAATGAAGTCAACCGTGAAAGGAATCCAGTGATCTCCAATGGCCTCGTTTTCCATTCATCGAAAGTCGGAAGTGGCATGTTCGGCATCCATCGTTCCGAGCGCTTGAATGGATTGTCTTCCCCCGTTTCACGATGCGAACCGTGAGGTGTATCGATCTGGATAGGCGGTTGTCCGACTGATGCTGGATTCGATGGCATACCTGGAAACAAACCTGTTTGACTCATTGGGATTTGGCTCAGGCCAGGCGGACATGATCCTGGAGGACATGGCATTTGGGTATACATACTAGGTTGAGCAGCCTCGAATGGGTTCTGACGTTCTGGACTCTGAGGCATGCTAGTTGGGAATGGTTGATCAGGAATCCCAGCGGCTTGGGCAGGAGACTGATGGAAGTTTCTCCAAGGATCATTTGCCTGCCATGGATCGGACAGCTGAGTTCCTGACACATCAATTCGATTCGGGTCTAACACATTTGGATGGTTGGTCTGACTGGGCAGTGGGTTCGATTCGCTTGCTTGCCCGGGCGTTTGATGAACAGAACCTGGGTTGAAAGGTGAAGGAGGAGCTAAAGCAGGTGGATCTGGCCTTTGAGGCATGTTCAAAGTCGACTGCTGAGCTTGTTGTGTATGAAGGACTTGCTGCAACACTGGACCTAAAGCCGAAAGAGTCTGAGTCAACTGCTCGACTTGGGTTTCCAGTCGTTGGAATCTATCAGATTGCCTTCCCTCATCCCCCAACCGAGATTCTGGAGCTTCTTCTCCTCGAGTCTGGGATCGGTCTCTGGATCGTTCTCGGCGAGCTGATCGTTCAGTTCCAGATGCATCGGCCATCAAACTGGAAACTACGTGAAGTGGTCCTAGATGCAACTGTTGTGAACTAGATCGGATGGGCTCCGCTACCATATGAAAGTTAAAGCTCTCGTGAACTGCTCCCCAAAAAGAACGTGAACCTTGAACAAAATTGAATGAGACCTCAAACCTATCGCGAACCCTCGGACGCGATCGTCCGATTTGCCCACCGCCCCGGCGCCCGCGCGCGTTTTTCTCGCACGGACTTGAGCCTTGAGCCAGTGAGCCAATGACGAACGGATTTGAGGCCCCCCCAACTAGGGTTGGCTGCACTCAATGGGTTCTTACGAACGCGCACTGTAAGCTAAAGGATGCCGACAGCTTGGGCTGACGCACCCTTAAATCACAGCTCTGGCGATTGTTGAGTTCGTCATGGCAAGGCTCGGCTTCGACGAACTTGGTACACTTTCTCGATTTGTGCTCTCGAGGAAGCTGGGATGCAACACTTCGGATTTGCGCATGTCATCCCTTCAAAACCGGCCAAAAACACCCTGGATGGATGCAGCACACATGCAAGCGACTCGAACGATGTTCCCTTCCGATTGTATGCATGACATGTTGTGGTCGAACGAAATGGTCAACTATGGTGACTGTATTTCACATATTAGCAATGGCCTCCACCCTAATAGCGACGGCCGTTCTAGTAGCGATGGCCTCCACCCCAATAGCGATGGCCTCAACCCATAGCGATGGCCTCAACCCTAAT